GAAAAGCACCCATGTTAAAAAAAATCATATTAAAAAGAGAAAGAAAAAAGATGCCATCAGCAAAATCTCCGAGAAAGAAAACATCAACCCTGCGAGACTGACACACATCAGCAGAGGCCTCCAGAAACTGGCTTGTGAGAACAAATAGTAATTCTGCAAAAGAAAAAAAAAAAAAATCCCCAAGGTACTTTAATCCCAAATTATATATGAACTGAATCAGGTGCCAAAGGGCATCCTAAAAGTGAGTGCTAAACCTCTGATAGAACTCATCAAAATTAGCAGCTCTGGCACAGCCCATTCCAGAGGGGAAAATATTATTTAAATGCCAACATGCCTTTCCATCTTAATTCTCTCAGACCCCCCAGGGGTCTAATTCTGCAGTCAGGGCCTGAACCAACAGTTGCTGGAGTCAATGGCATGAGTCACGCTGGCTCCAGCGAGCGCCGGGTGAGACCCGCACTGAGCGCGGTGGGCAGCTGCTCGCCGGGCCCGACCGCAAGCACAGCCCGGTCCCGTCGATTCAGCTCGGCTTCAAAGGATACTGGCTCCAGATCGGAAATAGCACTGTGGCAAAGAGCGAGAATCCCAACTTTTTAATTACACCCTCTTGCAGCCTAAACCTTCATGTTTATTTAAGGATTGGTAATGAGCCTGAAAGAAGAATTTACCATTTCATAAAGGGGGAGGAACAAGGGAAAAAAAAGTCTATGTGTCAAAGCGTATACAGCAGCTTTTTTGTTAGCTGTGATAATGATTTAGCGAAGCCAAATTTAGCCAAGTCACTCTTCTTTCACATGCATGAATTCACGCTTATCATTTAAAAACTGTAACTTCAGCAAACAAATTGTCCTTCTGCCACTGAAGGAGGAAAAGGAGTTTGCGGACTTCCATGTGAACGCGTGTGCATGTTTGCGTGTGTGCAAGTGCCTACAGCTCCTAAAAAAAAGACCCTTAGATCCCCGTCCTCTCTTTTCTTCATCAATATGACACAGTCCCGGAGCTCTGATTTCATCCCGATGCGTCGCTTTCAATGGGACTGCTCATGTGCTTAAAGTTAAAACATGTGCTTAAGCGATTTGCCAGATCATAGCAATGCTTGGCACCTTGCAGAACTGAGCCTTTAATGCTCCCTTTTGTGCTCTTACTGTTTCAAATTTACCCCTCACCCCACACAGCCGCACACTGTAGCACATCCAACATTTAAAAGAAAAAATACCGCATCTTTGGATCCCGTACAACAAACCCAAAATGCAAACATGGACACTGGCACAGTGCGAGCGTTAATACCAGCTCTTGTTAGGTCATGTTGCAATTTTAATCATAATTGAATGCGGCGTAGGTGGAGAGAGGACGGGTTGGTTTTGTTTTAGATAAAGTAGGGTTCTTTTTTTTTCCCTTTTAATTAGACAAAAAGGACTGCCTAAAAAATAAATAACACAATGCCCATGAGCATTAGAAAGCATCACAGAGTCCCAGATCTGACAGCAAGGAGCTCTCACTGGCTGCCCATGGGGACAATTCTATTTTGCCTGACCATAAACCACACTGAAACAGCCGATCTCAAGCCTGAGGAGGCCTTCAGCTGACTTCTCCATGCTGATGGCAAGCAGGAGCTGGGAATGGCACAAAAAACCCAGTGCCAGCAATAGCTGAAGAATCCCACCACCACCAGCAAAGCCCCAAACAGATGCACATGCACATGCCTCTGTCCTCTCCTCCTCCAGACCATGCCACAGCCCCAAATTTGGTTCCCATCAAAATCACCAGGTTAATACACACACTTCGAATGCAGCACGGACACAACCAGTTGCAGAGTCGATCTCTCACTAAGACCCTGGGGACAAGTCTCGAGGTCTTTGCCCCATCGATTCCCACCAGCACGGGTGGCTCAGAGGCTGGATTGAGTCTCTCGGTGTCAGCTCTGCCCTTATCAGGCCCAAAAATCAAGCCTAAGGAAATTTCTAAAAACCAGTGATATTTGACTCAGCCCACACAGGGGAAACATCCTCTTTGAAGATATTTGGGGTTTCTACACAGCGCTCGCCATAATTTCTCTTATGGCAAGCGTGTTTAAAAGACACGCCTGGTCACCACCTCGCTACCTTCAAACAGATTCTTGACACTAAATAAGCAAATAAATCACAACATCCACTGTCTTCTCTAAAACCTCTTCCATCTGCCATGTTTCCCCTACCAAAATTCAGCATCATTAGCTGAATGTTTTAAGCTCTGTGCTCTTTCTATCCCAGGCTGTATCTTTTATGCTGTACCGACCTATGCTGGAGACACCGGCAGCGGGCAGGAAACAATGAATAATAACACTATTGTAGCAGCTCCCAGCAATGGCATCCACTGACGCTAATCACCGACCCCAGCCTGGCCATGCAAGTAGTGGGATGACTAACAGGGTGCCCCATATCATCTGTAGAACCAGACCCCCATGGCCCAGCTGTGTGTGAGGGAGGGCACAACTTCAGAAGTGCTGGTAGTGATGAGAAGGTGGAATTGAGGATGATGGGGGAGGAATCACGCTGTGATAAAGATGCTTAATTAAGGGGCATTTTCAGTGTCTGGATTTGCACGGGGTACCCACAATGCTGCAAGCAGGAGCTAAGTGTGACTGCATGTACAGGGGCCTTCTGAGAAATGTGCTATAATCCTTCCAAAACCAACATGACTGGACGTGGAAATGGAAAGCTCTGCATCCACATGGACAGCAAAAGGAAGAAAATCCAAATGAAGGTTTTATCTCAGCAATAGCAGTGATGGAGCTGCCATTGGCTTCAACAGGGATGGGAACAGTGTCCAAGAGGGCTGCAGTGGCATGGTATCACCTCCCTGTTCGTGCTACATCTCCAGATCTTCCCCCCAAGATGAAGCAGAGCTGTCTAGGCCCCCTTGGCTGGCAAGGCGAAATCCATCTTCCCTAAAGGAAGCCCTTACAAAGGCACCCATTGAATTTAATAAACCTTGGGCTGGGTTCTCAGCATCTAAAGGATTTATTTGCCTTCTCTCTCCCACCCATTAGAGTCCTTTCATTAGCTTCAGCGTGCCTGGGATCAGAGCCTACAAAACCAGCCCAAGGTCATGCAGGAAACTTGTGGCAGAGGCAGAGGAGCACACACTGGATCCCCAGCCTGAGCCTCCATCACATGCCACCTTCCCCAGCTCACTCGCCTTCACAAGTCAGGAAAGATCAAGTCAAGCTGCAGACACACACACACATATCAACATCGATGCACATGAAAAGCAAACACGGGCTCAGCTTTTGCGCCTTCTGGGTTTTTTTGAAGGTTAGCAAGGAAAATAAATAGAGATACAACCAGTATTAGAAATATTTCTCTTTTTTTTCTCCCCAAGGCACTGCTGGATAAAAGAATATATATATATACATAAAATTCAGAAGTTCCTATTTAGCAAAGGCCATGTTCAAAGAACGGGAACTTTCTGTAACTTAAACTTTAACTAAAATACCCAAGATTGGAGTGATTATGCAAGGCAAGGTCTCTCCTTACTTTTTTTCTTTCCCTCTCCTATTTTTTTTCCCCTAAGAATGACCTTTTACAATGTATTTATTTATACAGTTCATTTTACATGTGCCGGGCTGAGGGTGACTCGGGACATTCTTTCGTGGTTCCATCAGACAGTGTCTGAAAGCCCCCCCCCCCTCCTCTTTCCAGCCGCTTTCCTATTCTGCCTCCCCCTCTGCTTGTTTGGATATGCTCAAGCTCCTGTGTGTTTGGGCTGGGGAAATGGAGCTGTTGTTTAGGAGTTATCTCCAGGGCTCAGATATCCGGCAGCTTTTTCCTAGGAAGTTAACTTTACACATAAAGAGAGAACGAGGAGGAGAAAAAAAAAGAAGGAAA